CCCCCCCCCCCCCAACTCCCCGCTTCCCCGCCACCCTTGTCCCCATTCAGTCCCTCCCACACAATCTTGGGTGCTGAATTTTGGGAACTCGAACCAAACCAAACCCCACCCCACTGGGTCGCCTGCCTCTAGTATTTAGACCCCCATCCATGCACTCTCTCATATGACTTGCTTCTCCAAGTCCACTCAATTCGGTGATCCCAAGTGTAGTTCCTCCCGTTCGACGTAGCGTACTCTACCGTTTCATAGGTTCAGTTAGTTTACCCAGAGATGGATTTCCTCGTTTGTGATGCGAAGTCTAGGGAGGCATGTATGTCGAAGGGAAGGCATTCCTGGTCCGATCCGCTTTATTCGGGAAGTTCCAGGAGCTCGTCGCACTCCTCGCCTCCAAGATGTGTAGATTCGTTTATACCGTTGAGTTACGCTCAGACTCACGATTCCATGGTCGGTAGTGTGCCGTTTCATGACCGGCATGTGTTCTTGTGTCATAAGGGCCCCGCTAATTGGCCTGAGAACCCGTTTTCGTTTGACTGGGACTGCATGCCGAGGAGACTTCGTGCTGATATTAAAGCTCGCGAGGAGGAGATGCAAAGAAAGGTGAGCTACGCCACGTGTTATCCTCCATGTTTCCTCTTTCTTTCTGTGTCTTTAATGTTTGTATGTATTCAGGGTAGTGCTGATTACGTTACTTGCTAGCAAGCTTCCATCGCAGTTCTGCTGTGACTTATCCTGGATGTTTACTTAACTTGCTTCCTCTGCCGTAATGTACCCCCTTGTCTTTTGATGATTTCAGACTATGTTCACCGTCTGTGAAGGGAGGGACGTCCCCGGTTCCTATAATGGGGACATTCTGGTCTTCCCTGAAATGTTGATTTACAGGTTAGTGAAGCTTTTAAGGCCTTATGCATTGTTATCGTTGTTAGAGTCTTTGTTCGTAATGGCTTATAAAATATATTTGTCTGCAGCTCTCGCCACCTCTTCTGTGTTATATATGTCTGCGTTTTTCGTCGAATGCTTCCTCACCTTCTATCTCCCTCGCGTTTGTCTTCGTCTGTCTACTTGCCTGCCGTTCTTCCACACCTACAGGTCGCTGACTCGTTTCGATGTCGAGTGTTTCGTTGATGAGGCTCTCGTGCAGGCGCAGCCTCGCTTGCTCTGGCCGGAACCCCTTACCGGGTGCCATATCTTCGTGTGCTGCCATGTTACCCGAGACTCACTCTGCGGTGCGATCGGGCCTCAAGTCGTGGCGAAGTTCCGCGAGGAGATTGAACGGCGAGGATTGATCGACGTGCACGTCTGGCCGTGCTGTCATCTGTCGCGGAATGTCTCCATGGATGCTTGTGTTGGGAACGTGTCTGTATTCAAACGGAGCAAACCCTCGTGCAATAACTGTGGAAGGAGAAGGTCCGAGGATCGATTCCTGTCTGGCGCGAGAAGGCAACAGCTTCCTCCGGAAGCCCTCGCTGCATTGGTAGCAGCTGCTTCCGCTGGGCAAACTGGAGAGGTTCGGGGCGATTGGTACGGCCAAGTCATGCCTGATGACGTGGCAGATGTCATGGAGCTCCACGTTATGGGTGATTCCGTGGTGGAGCGCCTTTGGCGGGGGAGAATGGGGCTCTGGCCGCAGCAGCAGGTCGAGGAGCAGGCTGATCGTCTCGGTTCAATGCGGTGTGTTTCCGCCGACCCTGAAGCCTCTTCCGAACGTATCCCCGGCTCGGCTTCCGGTTCAGCTCTTTCTGACGCTGGTTCGGAAGTCTGCTCCTGCGCTCCCGCTGCAGTCACGCGGTCTTTCTCGGCTCAGTACATCTCTCCTCAGACTTCTCGCTCCAGCAGCGAGGCGTCAAAAGGATCGAATAACAGCCCTTGCGAGTTTTCCAAGTGCGGCGCTGGTGGCGTGGCTCACAGCCCGTCTTCCACGCTGGACCCCGTTAATCGGCTTCGCTCGGCGAGCTTCCACAGCTGCTCGTCGGCCTCCTATTCGTCGACATCAATCGCGTCCGCCGAACCCGCTGGTAGCGACGTTCGCGGCGAGGTCAGCGGCGGCGCGTCTCTTAGAACGGACTCGTCTCTCTCCTCCGTGTCTGCTTCCCCCAGTTCTTCGTCGCGGTGGGACAGTTACCTCTGCGGCTCGCCTTCACTGCGATTCGGTTCTGCTTCTGAGAGTTCCTCCTCTCGCCAAGTGAAGCAGGGACAGTTGCCGAAACTGCCCAGCTGTAACCGGGTAACCAGTTTCCACCAAAACTTCGCGAAGCATGAGGCGGAATCCGCTTCGGCTGGGTGGGCTAGCTGGCAGGGGGAGTCGTTTCTCGTGACGGGGCGTGGTGCCATTGCTGCCGCTGCTGTCGCTGCGGTGGCAGTAGCTGGTGTGTCTACAGTGGTGTACCTTTGCCGGAAGAGAGATTGAGATGTTTGCGTAGTTCTTTGCTGCTGCTTGCCTGATGTGTTGCGTCTGCCTGTCCTTCTAGGGCAGAAGCAACATGAAAGGCAAGTGACGCTGGTGGTTATGGTGGTGATCGGCAAGTGAGTTGGATGTGTGGCCAGCCAAATTGGCTGGCATATCTTACCGTACCAAGACACCACTACTCTTCTTGGTCCTGAAGGATTGGTGTGGAAGTCAGGTTTTCCTAAGGGTAGGCTTCTTGAGTATGTGTTATTCTCTTGTAAATATGTCTAATTGTGTGGTTTGTTGTTCAGGTTGTTATCAGGAAATAAATCACAATAAGGTACCATAAGCAGTTGACGGACAACCCCAAGATAGTCTTTTAACTTCTTGACTCACCCCAAGGAGCACTGTCAGTTCGGTCAGGCCTATTTCGTCGCCCCAAACCACTCCCAAGTCTACCCTGCTCCAATCGCAACACTTTCCGTGCCATCTTCACCCGACCACTTCGCCTAGCTAGAATTTCCCTTACAAACTCACGTCACTTTTCTTTCCTTGTATCTTCAATTCAGTACCGTACTTTAGTATTCTCTTTATTCATTATTCTGCGCTCTCTGCCAGTCCATTCATAACACATATCATCTGGATGTCAAAACAGTACAGTTACAACTCCAAAAGCTCTCCTGTGCTGCTCACAGGAGAATGTCTACCAAAGCAGGAACTACAAAAATTTTCCTGTGCTGTCACAGGGACAATCTCAAATCTAACCTGCCACCTGCTTCAGGATCAGCTACTGCATCCTCTCTGTTCACAGGCTCTGTTGCTACTGGGTCTTTTGCAGCACTAAGGCTTCTCTCCACCTGTTCACTCTCCTCTACAGTGGTCTGTTGCTTTTGCTGCTGCATATCTATTGGTAATCCTCGTTCCGGTTGCTGTTGCTGGAAAGTCTTATAGCGAAGCTGCTCGTTCTCCCTGCGAGCATAGCTGTGGTGTTCGCCCAAGTGTACAAACTCGTGCATCTCTCGCGGAGACAGCTTAAATGGGAGATATGCAGTTTCTGCGGTGGGCTGGTTCCTTTCTGGCGTTGCCAGGCGAACAGTCTCTTGGTGCTGGTGATGCTGTATCTGCTGCTGTGCTATCTGCTGCTGTGCTATCTGCAGCTGTGTTGAATGCTGCTGCTGCATCTCCTCTGCTATACGCTGCTGCTGCTGCTGCTGCTCCAACTGCTGCTGCACCTGGTACCCTTGAATCTGCTGCCGCTGCCCTTCCGGCCACCCCACGGCACCACCTACCGAACCACCAGCACTCCAATCACCCTCTCCCCGAACCTCTCCCCGACCCTGAGACGACAGCAGAGCTGCGATGGAGCTCTCAGCAGCACGGGCCGGCTGGCTGGGGGTGGAATCTGAAGTGAGGGCTGAGGAGGACGAACCAGCAGACGGGCGCATCCACCTCGGACCCCCTCCATCCGATGAGTCCTCTCCCAAACGCTTTTGCGGTCTTTGTGCGAGATGAAATGGTCTTTCCGGGGGTGCTTCAAGAGCTGAGACGGAGGAGGCGGCAGCTCGGCGCATCCAATCTGGCCCTGCTCCTTCAGGTGAGACGTCTGCCAGCCGTTGCTGTGGCTGATTCTCTCGAGAGGATCCTGCTGCTGTCGCCCAGTTGGGCTCTCTCCCCTCACTAGATTCTGCCGCCCATTTTGAGAGGACTGAGTAGTGTGCTGATGACTGGGACACAGTTGCCTGGAAGCTGGGGAACCACTGTGATCCTGTAGTGCAGGGGCCTGATGCTGCTGCTGGTGCTGTTGTTGGTGCTGTTGCTGGTGCTGATGCTGAGACTGATGCTGGTGCTGAAATTGGGGCGGATGCTTGTAGAGACAATCTGGAAGGCTCAGGAGGATCCAAAAACATTTCCGAGGGTCCCTTTGAAGGAGGAGATTCAAATGCCTTGTGAGAGGACGTGCTGTGAGTCGCACTGCGAGTCGCGTTGGAAGTCATGCTTTGAATTGTGCTGCGAGTCAGGCTCTGAATTGCGCTGTGAGTTGCGATTTGAATCGCGCTGTGAGTCGCGATTTGGATCGCGCGGTGAGTTGCGCTTTGAGTCACATTATAAGTCGCACGGTCTGCAATCCTGGGTGACACAAAACCGCGATCCATGGAAAGCCTTCTCCTCCTCGAATCCCCAGACGCAACTTCCTCCCCTCCTGCTGCTCCTTCCTCACGAGCTTCTCGTTTCGGCCTTTGCTGCGATGCAGCAGCATCCCTATAACGAGGATGCTGCTCTGGGAGCAGCACTGGCAGGGCCCCTCCAGAAGGCACAGGCAAGGGGGATGCGCCTCCCTGCTCTGAACAAGGAGCAATGTGCTGCCTGGGATGCTTGAAGTGCTGGCCGTGCTGCTGCCCTGGCTGGCCTGGGTACACCGAGTGCCCTGGATGCTCTGGGTGTTCTGTGGCGTGTCCTCCAGAAGTTTCCGGCAGGCTCGTTTCTTCTGCAGCTCCTCCTGCTCCTCCTCCTCTTCCTGTCCCCTCTCCTCTCCCTCTTCCTCCTCCTTTTCCCCCTCCTCCTCCCCCTCCTCCTCCTCCTCCTCCTCCTCCTCCTCCTCCTCCTCCTCCTCCTCCTCCTACTCCTCCTCCTCCTCCTCCTCCTCCTCCTCCTCCTCCTCCTCCTCCTCCTCCTCCTCCTCCTCCTCCTCCCCCTCCTCCTCCTCGTCCTGCTGCTGCTAGCAGAAACTCCTCCCGACGGTGAGTCTCATTCTCCTGCTGCATCAGTTGCTCCTGCTGTTGTGGCTGCTGCTGCTCCTGGTTTTGGTGGTGGCGGGGGTGCTGCTGCTGCCGAATCTGCTCGTGTTGTTCGTTCTGCTGCTGCTGCTGCTGCAGCTGCTGGTGTTGTTGCTCCGGTTTTTGTTGCAGCAGCTCGAAGTCACCAGCAGGGGGAGACCGGGAGGTCAGCCCACCAAAAATACTCTCCAACACACTCCTGGTCGGCGTATCTTGTCTACATCCCAACCGCTCCTCCCACTGCGGAACACTCCCCTCACCCTCTCCTCCCTCTCCCATTGCACGGCCAGGATCGCTTCCCATGTCTCGTCCCCTCCATCCAACGGTCGGATGGGCAGCATCTAGTGGCTCAGGTTTCACCTCGCCCATTGTAACGGTAACCGGCTGTGGAATGACAGTGAAAGGGAGGGACGCTGTGCCCATGCTGCTGCCTCCTCGTAACATGCGTGATGGTAACGTGTGTGACTGTGCCGCCCATGGTACGGCAGCAGGGCCTGCAGTGCCAACATCGCATTGAACAGTGACACTGGCGGCGGTCCTTCCCTTGCTAACACTGCCACCACCACTGTCACCACCGCCAGCACCAGCACCACCAGCACCAGCACCACCAGCACCAGCACCAACACTACCAGCATCCGTACGCACACCCTCCTCCTCCCTTCCCTCCATTCCCTCCCTGCTCTTGAACGTTTCTCGCTCCCTCCGAGAAACCTCTTGCTCCTGCGGCGTGCCTTTCTTTTGCCGCGTGCCTTGCTTCCGCGGGGTGGTGTCATGCCTGAGCAGAGAGTCTTGGTTCTCAGGTGGATCTCTCATTTGATCTTGCTGGCCTGCTGCGTCTTGCTGCCCTCCCGTGTCTTGCTGTTTTCTTGATCCTCCTCCTCCACCCCTTCCCCCTCCCTCTGCTTCCTTCTGTGATACGGATGCAGACTTATCCTGCCTCGCCAATACAGGAGCAGCAGCAGCAGCAGCAGCAGCAGCAACGCCTCTGCTGCCCTGCTGCTTCCCAGGTGACTTCTGTGTTGAGTCAGCGGTCATTGTGGCTTTACCGTCTCCCTGCCTTGGTGCTACAGCAGCAACACTGTCGCTCCGCTGCTTCCTTGCCCTGCTCTTCCTCTCCCCACCTCCCTTCCCACCAGCAGTACCAGCACCAGCAGCAGCGGCCGCTGCTTTTGCCGCCTTTTCCTTCTGTCGCTGCAGCCGTAATTCCCTGTGCCCGTTTTGGTGCCCGCCCAGTGCATGCAGGGTCGGAAACCGCATGTGGCAAACCTTGCACTCGTGCGGCCCCGAGCCTCGGATCCAGGGTCGGTTCTCCGCCGCACCTGCGTGTGGCCAGGCAGTCGAGTCTAGCAGCGGGGACAAGGAAGGGCCCCCAAGGCTGAACAACCGCTGTTGGGCGAGGCCGGGGGGTGACCGGACCTCTGCCGAACCAAGTGAGTCCGAGCCTGCTGCAGAAAGAGGTACGGGATCAGCGCTGGCAATAGCAGTGGCATCAGCAGCAGCAGCAGCAGCAGCAGCGTCAGCGGCAGCAGCGGCAGCAGCAGCTGCGACCCCTGCAGCAACGAATTGAACAGCAGGGGACGTCGGTTCTTGAGTTGCTACTGCGGCACGCCCTTCAAAAGAACCACCACCACCTCCAAACCCCGCAAACCCCTCTCGAATCCCCTTCATCTCCTGAATCTCCTGAAGCCTTTGAAGGGCCCCAAAACCTCTAGCAGCTGCTGTTGCTACCGTCGCCTCTACCTTCGCCTCTACCTTCGCCACCCCTCTCCACTGTGGCATTCCGGAATCGTCAAACTGTTCATGCCCTGAAGCCCTAGCCTCCTGCGCTGCAGCGAATCCCTCAGCTGCGAGACTAGGAGTACCGGTAGTAGTAGATCTGAGACTTGGCGTAATGGTGCCTCTTTGTGTCTCCGTTGTTGTCGCCGCTGCCGTCGCTGCTGCTCTCCCTGCGGCTGTAGCATGATCAGTTTGAAAGACAGGCTGTCGCTCGCCGCCGCCGCCCGTAGATCTGAAGCTGCTGCTTCGTTCCATGTGCCCTTCCGCGCTCTCACCGCCCGCTCCCGCTCACGTTCGCGCTCGCGCTTGCGCCATGCGGGCGGAAACCTCCGCCCCCCGCTCCCCACGCTAAACCCGCGCCACTCACGCTTCCGCCGCCGTCCGCGCTAGAAAACTCGCCCGCACTCGCTGCGCCCCCCTGTGCTGCGCGGGGCTCACGCGGGGACGAGAAAAGCTCCGCTGGGGCGCCGTCCCCCTTCCCGCCGGCGGGCGTCGCGCGCTCGGTGGGTGACACGCGGAAGCTCCCCGCGCGCCACGGAAACAACACGGCGTCGCTCATTCGCTCACCTTGCGGAAACGAAATCATTTCGTCCCTGCAACTTTCGCCCTCTGCATCGCTTCCCCTTCCGCTTCCGCTTTCTCCCCCCAGCCAGTTTCCGACGCTATTCCGTACGTTCCTGCCGCCGGCGGCGGCGTGTGACGCGCTTCGCCCAGAATTATGATGTTTCCCTCCCGTAACCGGGTTACCCCTGCGCAGACCACCTAAAGGGTCAGGGATCCGAGTAATTCGCGTAAGCCAGTCGCTCAGCTCAAGCGACGGTTCGCCGGAGTCGTCCGGCGGTCGCCCGCTGGGCGGCGGTCGCAACGCTTCGACTCCCTGCGAAGTCGCGTCTTCGTGGACGTGGCCGTCGCCGTCTCCGCCGCCTCCGCCACCGGCGGCGCCCCCGCCGCCTCCCTGTTGGAAGGAAACGGTGGTGGGGCGGTGGTATGCCCCCAACCCACCGAGGGCACTTCGGTGCCTTCGATCCCTTTGACTAGGGATCGGTGGGGTGGCACCGATTGACTTCGGGAGACTCACCCTTCGGTGCCACGTGGCGGCACCACATTCCAACCTTCAAGTGCAAGGCGAATTCGGTGTGTTCGGTGTGAAATTCGGTGGTCGAATTTCACCCCAACCGAAATGTTACACGCGGCGCATTCGCGACGCGAGTGTAGCGATGTGATATTACATGTGCGGTTCGATGTAATGCATTTGCTATAAATCGACCTGCCTTGTATGCATGCTTTATACTGAAATCCTGAATCTTCTTGTACACGGTCCATTCGAACCAAAATTCCAGAGAGGTCTATCCTTGCTTCTAAGAGCACTAGCAATCACGTGAACGCCAATATCTCGGCGTATACTTGGGCGATTAACGTGTTTGACGGCTTGTTGGAAAGCCAAGACTGTGCTCTATCGTTTAGTGCAACTTAGAGTTCCTGCAAAGTAGAGGAGACGCCTCTACAACAGTGGTATCAGAGCTGGTCGGTAGAGTCTACGTGCGCGACTTGTAGCAAGCATGATGACGTCAAGCGAAACCTCCGGCACTTCCTTAGGTGGTGTCGTCTCGAATCCCGGCGAACCCTGGACAAACGCGACGGTGTTCGACACGTCGGCGGTTCCGATTTTCACGGGACAAAACTACTCCGCGTGGAAATTTAAGTTCCAAGTGCTCATGATGGAGCGGGGACTTTGGGGTCTCTTCGACGGAACGGAGAAAAAGCCGATCAACGAGGACGAGATCGCGGCATGGAAGAAGAAGGACCAAAAGGCGTTCGCAACGTTGATTTCGCGCATCGGCATCAACCTCGTGAGTTCGGTGCGCACGTGCATCAAGCTCGAAGCTTCGGCGCGTGAAGCATGGAAGCGGCTCGAGACGATGCACGTGAACAAGACTCTCCACGGCAAGATCCTAGCCCGAAATGCGTTCTACACGGTGAAGTTGCGCGCGGGCGAATCGATGCACGAGTATGCGACTCGTGTGGAGGAACTCGGGGAAACGTTCATGGACCTCGGTGGAACGGTCACGGAGGAGGATTGGATTCTCACCTTGCTTTGCGGCCTTCCGGAAGAGTGGTCGACGGTGATTACGACACTCGATAGCGTGCAAAACACTTGGACGAAGGAAATGGTGGTCGGTCGGCTTCTCCATGAAGAATCGCGACGCCGACAATTTGCTAACGAGAGCGTGGAGACCGCCATGTTCTCCGGAGGGAGCTCCGGAAAGAAGTCCAAGTGGAGCAACGGTGAGGCAAAGAAGTCGTCCGGTGGAAACGGTCGCGGCAAGGGCAACGCATCGAACGGTTCGAGCAAGTGTCATTATTGTCGCAAAGCGGGGCACTTTTGGCGTGAATGTAGGAAGCGGCCGAGCGATTGGATTCCATCGAAGGCGCGGAACCAAGAGGGCAACGCGCACACGGCATCCGGCGAGGCGGATGATTCAACGGAGTCGCTCGTTTTGTTGGCCGCTGACGGGATCAACACTTCAAACGACGCGTGGTTCCTCGACACCGGTGCAACACAACACATGACGCACTCGGCGTCGCTCCTCAACAACGTCGGTGCTCCGGGAGACGTCAAGCGCGTCGTCTTTGGGAACGATAAATCGCTACCGGTGGTTGGAGTTTGGAGTACGCGTCTCATCGTCGATGGCGGGCCGGTGGACATCACGAACGTGCTTCACGTCCCGGGATTGAAGGTGAATCTAGTCTCCGTCACTCAACTCGCAAAGAAAGACGTGAAGGTCACCATCGATGGCGCGAAGATGAACCTCTTTTGGAAGGGGAAGCAATTCGCGCAAGGCGTTCTCAACGGACAACTCTACCAACTCAAGACGCATCCGACAACGGCCTCATCCAACGTGGCGCAAGGCTCCAAGGCGACTCTCAAAATGTGGCATAATCGGCTTGCGCACGCCAACTACGACTCGGTCAAAGAGTTGGCCAACAAAGGACTTGCGAAGGGATTTGACGTGATCACCGGCAACGACGAGAAGGGCGTGTGCGCGGCGTGTGTCGAAGGAAAAATGGCTCGCAAGCCATTTGGTAGCCGTACCTCACCCCTCGCAAAGGACCCGCTTGCGCTTGTTCACATGGACGTGTGTGGACCGATGCGGCATGCATCAAAGGGAGGAGCGCGGTTCCTCTTAGTGATGCTCGACGACGCGACGCGGATGAGTTGGACCCGACTCTTGAAGGCTAAGGGAGATGCGGCCAAGGCGATTCAAGAGTGGGCGCTCGACGTTTGCGACGACGGCAAGAATCGGATCAAGTGCATTCGCACCGACGGTGGCGGCGAATTCGTGAGCAACGAGCTTGAAAAATGGATGAAAAGCAAGGGCATTAAGCACGACGTCACGACACCCTACACACCCCAACAAAATGGAGCGGTAGAGCGGCTCAATCGCACATTGATGGAGGCCGTTCGTTCACTTCTTCAACACTCCAAGCTTGGGAACGAGTGGTGGGGAGAGGCGAGTGCGCTAGCGGCATGGATTCGTAATCGTGTGCCAACAAAGGTGCTACCGGGAACGACTCCGTTCGAAGCATGGACCGGAACGAAGCCGAACCTATACCGCCTACGCACCTTTGGGTGCCTTTGCTACTACCATGTACCGGATCCACTTCGCCACAAGTTGCAACCGAAAGCTCGTGCGGCGATCTACTTGGGGATTGCGGCGAACGAGCGTGCATGGCGAGTGTGGGATTTGGATGAAAAACGCGTCGTCACGTCTCGGGATGTGATCTTCGACGAAGACAAGTTCCCGACAAAGGAGAAACAAACGCCGCAACTCACCGTCGTCCTTCCCGCACGAGAGGAGGATGAAGCGGTGGAGGTTTCACCGCACGTGAAGAAGGGAGCCGAAAGTGGAGGGGGAGAGAACGAGGAGATGATGATGTCGAGGAGGTGCCACCAACCGAGGAGGCCACTTCCTCCGCACCTTCTTCCCTACCATTGGCGTTGACTCGCGGGCGTCGTACACCTCGCCCCAACACGAGGTTAACCGACTATGCTACGGTCGCCGTTGGGGAGTCGGATGAGGAGAGTGCGGCGATTTGCCTAGCGACCATCGGCGACGATAACCCATGCACTCACAAGGAGGCTTTGGCTTCCCCGGATGCACCGCTATGGAAGCAAGCGATGGAGAGGGAGTTAGCATCGATCAAGGAGAACGATGTTTTCGAGCTCGTCGACCCGCCGAAGGGTGCCTACTTGGTGGGATGCAAGTGGGTGCTTAGGAAGAAATTGGGAGCCGATGGAGGTGTCGAACGCTACAAGGCGCGGCTTGTGGCGCAAGGGTACACTCAACGGGAGGGGGAGCACTATAGTGAGACCTTCGCTCCCGTTTCGAAGGCCTCCACTCTTCGGGTGTTGCTCGCGCTAGCGGCATCTCTCAACCTCGAGGTGGAACAATTGGACGTTTGCACCGCCTTCCTCTACGGGCTTCTCATGGAAGAAGTCTACATGCGGCAACCCCCGGGGTACGATGACGGTAGCGGTCGGGTGTGGAAGCTCAAGCGTACCCTATATGGCTTGAAGCAAAGCCCACGCGGATGGTACAAGCGCATCGACGACTTTCTTCTTCAACACGGCTTCGCGCGTAGCGTGTGTGATAGCGCTTTGTACGTGTTGAAGGAGGGGGAGAAGCAATTGGTGCTTTTGCTCTACGTCGATGACCTCCTTCTTTTCTCCGACTCCAAAGACCTCATTCGAGAGGTCAAGCAACGGCTAGGGGCGGAGTTTGCCATGAGGGACTTGGGACCGGTGACGTACTACCTCGGGATGCACGTCGACCGCGACCGCGCGAACGGGACCATTCACCTCCACCAAGAAAAATATGTGAAAGGGGTTGTGGAGCGCTTCGGCATGGGTAATAGCAACCCGGTGGGGACGCCACTAGACACGGGATTTTCTTGCCTCCCGGGAGAGGAAGAATCCGCCCTCGACGAAGCCGAAGGGAAGCGGTTTCATTCGCTAGTCGGCTCACTCATGTATGCCGCCGTTTCCACCCGTCCCGACCTCTCATACGCCGCCGGGGTACTTGGACGAGCCGTAAGCAACCCTCATACCGAGCATGTGCGTGCGGGAGGACGTGTTCTACGCTACCTCCAAGGCACACCCAACTTGGGAATCGTATATGAAGCCGGTCCAATCGTGCTTAAGGGCTACACCGACTCGGATTATGCCGGTGATCAAAGCAAGCGCAAGAGTACCGGCGGGTACGTCTTCACCTTGCTTGGGGGAGCCGTGAGTTGGCAAAGCAAGTTGCAACCAACCGTGGCTCTAAGCACAACGGAAGCGGAGTATATGGCACTCACTCAAGGAGCCATGGAGGCAATATGGCTACGGCGCCTTCTAGCGGAGCTTGGGCATCCTCAAGCCGACCCAACTCCTCTCTTTTGTGACAACCAAGCGGCCATAAACCTCACTCACAATGCCGTCCTTCACGGGCGTACCAAGCACATTGAGGTGAAGCATCACTTCATTCGTGAGGTGGTCGAGAGAGGTGAGGTCAAGGT